CACACACACACACACACAATGCCCCACCCAGTCAAAGCCCACATTCCATAACAGATTCTCCCACCTGACCCCTCCTGCCCCACCCGTGGCCTGCCTTCGCTCCCTCCCTCCAGTGCTACCCCAATCTGTTAACCTACAGGTGCGTTCCTGTCTCCGGCTGGGGGCCTTCACAGACCACCAGGCACTTCTCTTATTGGCACGAGTGGGTTTGGTCCTCGAGCACATGTGAGGATTTTCAGGGGAATGAAAGATCCAGGGCCTGGCATCCTTGTGTGTGACCTTCACTGTCCTAGGAGGAGCTTTCCCACAGCAGCAGCCACCCTCCCAGGGGAGCAGGGGGCTCAGGTCCTCCTGTCGTGGGGCAGGACGTGCTGCTGGTGCCGTGGGCGCGCTCACACCCTACCACGCTCCTTCCACGACCCACAACAGCTGAGCGCTGAGCCAGAGGCCATGTGGTCCACAGCCCAAAGCATTTACTGCCTGACACTGTGCAAGTGTTTGCTAACCCCTGATATAGACCGAAGGAAAAGGAAAAGAAGGAAACACCAGGTCATTTCTTCCAGACACAAGTCCACATCTGTGTGCTTCACCAAATCCAACTTTGTACGAGTTCTGCTGACAAAGCCTCTGGGTACAAGGATGTCCTTGGCGAGGGTGGGAAAGGGGCAAGAAGGGGAAGTGTAGGAACCCGAGAACTGAAGGGAGAAATCCTGGTATGTTCTGGGGTCTGTTCACCAGCGCCCACCTGGATGGAAGGAGAAACGCGGGAGCAGGAGCGTGTGGCGGAGACACAGTTTAACTCAGTTTGGACCAGAATGGGCTAAGGTGGGTCAGCTCGCCCTCACCAGCGCCCACCTGGATGGAAGGAGAAACGCGGGAGTGGGAGCGTGTGGCGGAGACACAGTTTAACTCGGTTTGGACCAGAATGGGCTAAGGTGGGGACAATGGCGCAAACTGTTTCTAAGAAATCAAATGTCGCTTTGGAAAAGCACAGAATTGATTTTTAACCCACCCCAAGGAGAGGACCGAGGGAAAGCACACCTTGCACCTGGATGTTGATCACCTCATAGACACGCTTCACGATGCCGTCCAACACTGTGGACACGTTGGCCACGGGCACTGACCGCGGCAGGCCCAGCAGCAGCCACGACACTGTGGTCGAGGTGTCCCCACAGGCCGAGTGCAGGTGGTAGACAGCAGCGTCCATCGGCCGCAGGGCACTGGTCACCTGTGAAGCCAGAGTTAGAGCGTCGCCCAGGGGAAGTGCCCCATCAGACAGACAGGGAGACGGAGGCCCGGAGAATTTAAGTTAATTGCGTATGTGCCATTCTGGTCTGCAGAAGAGAACCCCTACGGTAGTTTATTTCTGTCATCAGCCCAGTGAAAGCCTGCAAACCAGATTATAAATACTTCTGCAACGCTGGTTGCTATGGGCTGAATAGTGGCCACCCCCGCACCCCCACATCCTTATGTTGAAGTCCTCCCCCCGGACTTCAGAATGGGCCCTTATCTGGACATAGGGTCTCAGTGGATGTAATCAGACTAGGATGAGGTCATTCGGGTGAGCCTTTGCCCAGTGTGACTGGTGTCTGGACGTACACAGAGAAGAGATCTGGACACAGAGACAGACACCAATAGAAGGAAACGCTGTGGGGACACAGGGAGAAGACAGCCACCTACAAGCCACCGAGAGGGGCCTGGGAGGGACCCTTCCCTCACTGCCTCGGAAGGAGCAGCCCTGCCCACACCTCGATCTCAGGCCTCCAGACCTGTGGGACCCTAAGTGTCTGTTACATAAGCCCCCCAGTCTGTGGTGCTCTGTCACGGCCACCCCCAGGAAAAACACCTGTCAGCCCCCGAGCCCCGCGGTCCCCATCCTCACCACTCATGACAGAGAGTTATATCAGGAATTAGAGAACCGGATGTCAAGCCATGGTCTCATGTTGCACATCTGACTTTTTTAGCTTTTGTGACCCCTTTTCTCATTTCATCCGTATCTTTTTGCTCCAGCCTAATATCTCTTTCAGCTCTTTCCATGCACTGTTTAAACCTCACAGCCACTGTCTCCGACAGGATTATGACCATTTTTAGTTCAAGGAAGTGATATCTAAGACACAGAGAGGTTAAGTAGCTTGCCCAAGGCCACACAGCTGATGAGTGGCAGCACCGGGATTTGAACCCAGGCAGTCTGGCTCCTGAGCCATGCTCTCCCTGGCTATTTGGGCCATCTTCTTACCTGCCCTAGCTGGGCCATCTTCTCCTCCAGCTGGGTCAGGTAAGGAGGTTTCTGGGGGATGGTGACCTTTCAGAATGCCTCTCAAGTCGCTTTACTGGACAGCCCAGAGCAAGGTAAGTGTGTGTGTCACCGGTTCTGTGGGAAAGGGACCCAAGTTCGGGTCTACCCCCTCCCCGTCACCCATGGGACACATCTGTGGGATCTGAAGGTCAGGCAAAACCAACCACAGAGTGTTGGGGCCCAGCGCAGAAGCAAAATTGAGGGCCTGGCTCAAAAAGTATGAAGCATCTCAAGAGGCAAAGCCGGAGCATTAGACATAGTGTGGGACCGTCTGAGCCTGGGCTCACTCCAGGGGACACGGGCCCACGTGGCCCTGAGGGCAGACCACGCCCTGGAGAGACCTCCATCCGTGAGGATGGGCAATGGCCCGGCCACCGCGGGTAACGGCATCCTGGCTGGAAGGCTCTGCAGTGTCAGCAAGTGTGAGCTGTGTCTGCAACAGGAACAGGTTGCCCCTCAGGGGACATGTGGCCTTGTTCAGAGACATGTGTGGCTGCCACGGCTGGGCATGCATCTGGGTGCATGTGCAAAGAGGCCAGGCATGCTGTGCAATCCCATGATGACAGGCGGCCCCCACCACAGAGAGCCATCCAGCCCCAAACAGCGATAGTGCTGGGTAAATGTCCCCATCCAGCATTTTCCAGCACGCTGGGGATCGAGGGGGAAGCCAGTGAGGGCACAGCTCTGGGGCCCAGGCCGTCTACACTGGGCACCCTTTGGTTTAAGCAACAGCCCGTTAGAAGATTAGGGGTCCCGTGTTCTACCCCATGATGGCGTACGGCTTCAACGCCATGAGTGTCAAACTTCAAACTGCACACTTAAAAAAAAAAAAAAAAAGCTTTGTTTTTAAATTAGGAATTGACATCTGCTTCAGAGCCGGGCATTCTAAGTTCACTCGTGGAACCCCTCCCCAAGCCCTGGTTTGCGCTGGCGCCAGCAGGGCGGCCTGCGGGCTCGCCCGCCCCTCACTCACCATGGAGTGCAGCAGCCGCATGTGATCCAGCAGCCTGGCGTCCACCTGCTGGAGTTCCCCGAAGTCCATTTTCACCAGGACGGTCACGTTGTACCAGGAATGCACCGAAGTCCCCTCTCGAGCTGCAGGGGCCACAGGCTGATGAGCTACAGGCCCAGGGCCAGGTGGGGCCACCAGAGGCCCTGGGCTGAGAAGGGGGACAGGAGGCCTGGGAGGCAGGAGCTGGCCAGTCTGCATTCACCCTCCTGCGGGAGGGGGGCTGCCGCATGACCGGCATGGGACACCTCCCCCACCTCCTGTCCCACACGTCTCTTACGTTATAACATTTGTAATCTTATATATACGACATACTATACTTTTGGAGATAATGCATACTAGATAATAATGTGTGTAATATGTAGTTTATAGGATATGTATACTGTGATATATAGTAAAATAGCATAATTAATATATGTGATATATAATACTTTACATTATTTATACTATACTAATGCTAGACTATATTATAACATATAATGTATATGATATTTTCTTTTTCTTTTTTAATCCTCACCAGAGGATATGCATTGGTTATGTTTTTTTATTGATTTAGAGAGAGAGAGAGAGAAACATTGATGTGAGAAAGAAACATCCATCGGTTACCTCCCATATGCGCCCCAACTGGGGATCAAACCCATAACCTAGGTATGTGCCTTGCCCAGCACATACTTAGTTTATGGAATCAAACCTGCAACCTTTTGGTGATAGGACAACATCCCAGCCAACTGAACCACCCAGCCAGGGCAATGAGTATGATATATTTATCCTTAGCTCTGAACCTTGACCAACCCGTTCTCCTGGGGGCAGCCACGGTCAAAGAGAACCTTCCAGACCAGACAGGCATGCCCTGAGGGCTGGGCCACGGGCCTGCCAGGCAGGTGCTATGAGCAGGATTTCGGGCCCCTGTGGCGTTTCAGAAGCAGCTACCAGACAGTCTGCTTCCAATAAGTGCCACCTGCCAGGGGACTCTAGGGCGCCCCAGGCAACTGGGGAAACCGGTCACTGCTCTGCCAGGAAGGCCTGTGAGCGCTCCTCCCCCTCCTTCCCCTGAGGCGTCAGTGTCAGAGGCATTGCAGAGACGGTTGCATTGAGTGGGAGTGGGATGTGCCCGCACACAGCTGTGGACTCCCCATGAATCATGACCTTGGCTGAGGTTCCTGGAAATCACTCCCCCCACCCCACCCCGACCTTCACCAGATCGGGACAGGCCCAGCCCAGGGCAGCTGCCTCACCGGGCGCCTGCTTTGCTGCAGGTCTCAGTCCCACCTTGGGGTGCAGGAGCCACACAGCGGTGGCCCCACGAAAAGGAACAGCATTTCTGAAGTCCAGGGCAGTCGGCGTCCAGGGTACACGGCGCGGTGGATGCTCCCTGCCCCTCCTGCGGGCAGACGCCGGGTCTTGATGCAAACTCCCCGGACCGATTCAGGGCTGGTGGAGAGCAATTAACAGTTAATGGTGTCGGCAACAAACACCAGGTGAGCCGCTCAGGCCGCACCTCCAGGTGCCTCTGTGGACCGAGGAGAGCACAGGGCAGCCACTTGAGGGCGACGGCCAGGTCTGGGCAGCGCCATTGTGATGTCTAAAGTCCTGGAGAAATTGCCACACGGGGACTGGCTTTGGGGACATAAACAATGGGCAAGTGGTGCCACCCAGAGAGCCACGGGGACAGAAGTTCCAGCGTCCCTGTGGGCCCAAACCAAGGCTTGCTTTTTCCCATCCTAAACGCCAACGGCCTTACAGTTAGGGAGACATGAGACTAAATGTGAGGTGGCTCCTGGGACAGAAAAATGACACTAGGAGGAAAAACAGGGGAATCCAAATAGTGTGCAGTCGAATGAACAACAATGCACCAACGTGGGTTGCTTCCTGGGGACGTGTATACGATGGTGACACAAGACACTAACACAAGGGACCCTGTTGACGGGTATGGGGAATTCTACCACCTTTGCAACTTGTCTGTCAATCTAAACTGAAAGGTTTACTTAAGTGAAAAGAAAGTATAGGCCACCAAGAAAAAACAGCAGCCAAGCATGGCTGTCAGTCACAACAGACGTGTTTTCCAGTTCGAGTTCATCTTGCCCTGACCACTGTGGGGACTGCCTTCCTCCCTCCCCACAGGGCTGGCGCTCGCGGAGAGCCCAAGAGTACAGTCCACAATCCCAACTTGGTAGAAACTCAGAAATCCGCTTCTCTTTCCACTATCTCAACACGGACAATGAAACAGGACTGCTCCATGCCTGGCAACCCAAGGTCAGTCACGGTGCTAGGGGACGACCCACCGAGGCCGCCTGGGCTCAAAATGTGATCCTTCTGGAATGTCATTCCCACTCCTACCGCCTTCCCAGGCGAACTCCTTCCCCAAAGGGACCCTGGTCTCAGCCTGGGGGCCGGGGAGTTTGGGGTAGTCTCTAGGAGCAGTGGGGTCCTTCTGCCACAATGATGGGCCCGTGGTGAAGGCAGGCTGAGGGGAAGCCAGGGTGTCACCACAGTTGGCTAGCATCGGCTAGGACGCTCAGTTCGTGCCACACCCAGCTGTGTGTAGCGGTGTCTGCACCATTGGACACTCATGGCAGCATTATGCACAATAATGAACACTTGGAAGCAACTAGATGTGAAATGGTGGGAGATTGCTACACGCTGATACATCCATGTGAGGTAATGCCATGTGCCGTTGAATCATGCTGCAGGCCGATATATAGTGACACGAAACGTGGCCCAAAGACACTGCCAAATGGTAAAAACCTGTTACAGAAAAATCTCAAACAGGGTGACCCCCCTTCCGTAAAATGCCCGCCCTGAATGGAGATAGAGGAGAATGTTCACAGTGCTCTGCTTTGGGGAGCAGGGGGGCTTACTGGTGATGTCCCTGTGATCTCTTCTGTGTCCCAGATTTTCTGCATGGCGTGTGCATTCTTTTTTGTGATGATAGTACAAAGATACATTTAAAAAAAATAATGTCTGAGTTATCATTGCCTTCCAAAGGCTGGGTTTCTAGAAATTGAAAGCCATTTAGACCGAAAGGCATGTCACTGTGTGTGAATCGGCTGTTGAGTGGGAGGGGGAAGGAGGAAGCTCGTCTGCGTCTCCCTGCTGCCTGGAGATGAGACCTGTGAGCTGAGAGCCCTGGGTTGCCAAGACACAAGTCTCCCCAGGCCCAGGGGGACCTGGAGGCCCACCTGTCCTCCCCAGATGCCCAGGCTGTCCCCAAAGCTACCACATCCAGGGTCTGGCCTCTGCCCCAACCTGTGCAAAGAGACTGAATCTCTTCAGTTTCCAAAGAGCCAGCCTGTTGCTAGGCTGCTCCCAGTGAGCTCTAATCGAACAGTCAGGCTCTGCAGAAGGAGCTTCAGGAGGAGGAGGTGGAGGCTGTGTTGCCAATGCCCCTGGTGTAAATGCTTCCACCACGGGCAGTTCCAGCTGCCAATGTGCTGGCCCTGAGGTGCTCAGCTTGTCCCCCCATACCCCCACTCTCCTTATTCTAGCCACACCTCTACTGTAACTCCCCGGAGCAGACCTGCCCATGGGACTCTCACCTGGTGAGCTTCTAATTAAAGGTGCTAACACTTTAAAAGTGGGGTTGATGTCCCATGAGAGTCATTTCCTGGTGGCTGGTTTGCTTCGGGGAAGAAAGATGAGAGGCAGGTGGTGGGGGAGGAGCACCAGCCCTCCCTGCCTCCTCTCCTTTGGGACTTGTTCAGCTCAGCAGGGCAACAGCCCTTACAGAAAGGACACCCTATGGTGGGCGGGGCTAGTGTGGCTCAGCCAATCCTGGACCCTCCTCCAGACCATTGGACCTGTGACCTCACTAGCCCCGACCACAGCCAGCAGGTTTTGACCTGTGTGGCCTTCACACGTGAAGACAAATGGAACAGGGCCACACCTGCCTTTTCTCTGTGGATTCTGATGCTCCATACCAAGGTTCATGGGCCCCCAGGTCTTCACAAACAATGGAACCCCTGCCCTCCAGGAAGAGAGGGGCTCCCAGGGCATGGGCAAGCAGCCCAGCTGGCCACCCCTTCGCGCATGTGCCCTGAAGACACGGAGAGAGGAGAGGGGGCAGGTGTCAGCACAGGAAGAGACTCCTTCTACCCAGCACCCCGGCGGGCAGGATCTCCAGGGGACAGCCCCGCCCTCCCTTCAGCATCCCTTTAGAGAACCAACGGGAATGTGCAACTGGCTCTAAGCCATTGCCCTGAGGTCAGCTGGCCCTATCTGGTTTTTATTGGTGGTGGCAGTGTTTGTAACAATGGTTTCATTTGAAGACACAGCCCTGAGCTGTCTGGACATCCCTGTGCCTGGCCCTCTGAGCAGGTCCATGAAAAATGGCATCCCTGTCTCTGGGAGATTCGTCTTTGTTTCCAGAGTTTCCACATGGCTCGTGTACTCATATTTGTAATTATAGTAAAAAGATAAGTCTCAGTATAGTGATGTCTGAGTTATCACTGCATTCCTAATGCTGAATTTAAAGATAAAAATTAAAGTCACTTAGACTGAGAGAAATATTGTACGTGCCCTCAATGCTCTTCCCGTTTTAAGGCCTTGGTTGCTGAGTTGTGTAGGGGACCTGCGGGGGGAGGTTCTGCATGACTCAGCGTGCCAAGCCCACGCAGCCTTCTGCAGGTCTTCAGGACACAGGCTACATCCTGTGGCCCCTGGGGTGTGATGGCCATGCCTTAGCCTCAGGCCCAGGATGGATCAAGTGGGATCCCCTCTCAGACCCACCTGAGTGGTGCCTTCTGCACCCTGGAGATGGTAGCCCTCACAACTCAGGGTGACCCCGTTGGCACTCACTGAAGTCACACCCTTCCCACTTCCCCTCCATGACGGATGGGGACAGAGGTACCTCCGACTGCTCAGAAACTCATTTGAGATCTGGTATTGACTCAGATGTAACAATCACCACTACCCACACACACTCACAATGTACCCTTTCCCCTGGAAGAGGTTTTCTGGAAAGTTCACTTCCTGCCAAAAGGCTGAGCCCTGAACCCCAACACAGCACAGCCCACCTGGCCTCAGACACTGGCCCAGCGCACTCGCACCGGTCACCCTGGTAACCACCCCGAGAATCTTCCAAACCACACCGAGTAAGTAAGAGGACTTGGGGCCTCTGAGCAGTTAGGGGGTACTACCATCTCTTTCATATATTGGAGCTCAGATTAGGATTTCAGATTTCAAAAAGGGATCCACTACCACTTTTAAAAAGAAAAGGTGACTGCAACATTGGTTCTCAAAGTCAGCTATGAGTTAGTAGCTTGGGAGCTTTAAAAACATCCCACCATCCAAGCTACGACCAGGCCAAGTCCATCACAATTTCCAAGGGCAGGACCTGGGCAGCTGTGTCTCTAAAGCTGCCCAGGGGCCTTCGGTGTGCAATGAGGTCTGGGTGCCAAGGCTCCTGAGCAAAGGTTCTCAAACCAGAACCCTGGGCGGGCAGCATCAGCACCACCTGGGACCTTGTACTTCACCCCGACCCGCTGGATCCAAAGCCGGGGGTAGGCCAGTGATGTGTGCTGGGGCAAGCCCTCCACACGATCCTGATGCTCGTGGTTAGAAACCAGTGTTTCCCAAAGATCTAGTAGGTTCAGGGCTAGTGGATGTGATCAGTAACCATCCCAAGACTCATCAGGACGCTCAGGGAGAAGGAAGTGGGGGGGTGGCCCACAGCCCACCCACAGCCCTGGACTCACGCAGGACGCAGTAGAGGCCCAGCTGCTCGTAGCCCTGGCAGCAGTCGGTCACGTTCCTGGACTCAGGGACGTCCACGGCCAGGTACCGGGTCTTGTAGATGGTCTTGGGGCACCGCCTCCATGGGATCCACCCGCCGCAGGGGGCGTAGGTCACATGGGACATCCGGACGGCCTCCACTTTCTGGACATTTTGGGTCACGCTGTAGTTGCACAGCTGGTAGCTCAGCAAGGACAGGCCTTTGTCTACGAGGGAGCAGGGAGACGCAGGAGCCAAAGAAAGAACAAACACCAGAGTCAGATCAATGTGAGAGCTTATCTGGCTTCTGCAGAAGCGCGTGAAACAAGATCTCTGCATTCGGGTACCCTCGGAATCTGCCCACCGCCCCACTGAGAAGTCAGTGCAGCAGCGGGACCTCAAAGGGATAAAGTGTAAACAAAGACCTGCCCACTGAGAGACCCTTCTCTACAGAACACGGAGCAGCCACAAGGCCGCGCTGCGCTGTGCCCAGCCCCCGGGACACAGGAGGGAGACACGGAGGAGGGAGTCAGACTTCTAGGGCTCAGGGCCCCATTTTCAGCTTCATGCTCTGTGACCCTGCAGCCAGGAGAATCTTGTGCACATCTCAATCTCCATGAGCCACAGTCTGTCACAAGAGAAGTGCATCAGTAACGATTCGCACAGTAACTATATACCGAAGGCCTACTATGCACCAGGCTCAGAGAGCAATCACACCCTTTTAAGGAATGAGATGGGAGATAAGTAAAGAGAAATTTCAAACACACGTGAGGCATCATAGATGGTCACGTTCCATCTGACTGTTACTGTCGTTATTGAGAGATGAGGGCATAGTGCCCGCTGTAGGATGACACTGGGCTCTGTGCCCATGGCCCCTTCATCGGCATGATCACTCAAGACCCTGTGGTTCCCATTACCATCTCCAGTCCTGTGCCTCTTTGTCATGGACACTGTGGCCTTGGGGCATCCCATCTGCCCAGGGAGCTCTTGTTGTCTCACGTAGCAGGGACTGTTATGAGCTGAACTGTGTCCCGCACCCACCCAAAGTTCATATGCTGAAGTCCTCACTCCCAATACTTTAGAAGGTGACCTTATTTATAAATAGGGGTTTTGCAAATACAATTAGTTAAGATGAGGCTATAGTGACCCCCATCCAATAGGACAGGAGAAATCTGGACACAGAGACAGGAATGGGCACAGGGAGAAGGCCACATGAAGATGGAGGCAGAGATCCAGGTGATACTCTACCAGCCAAGGAGCCCCAAGAGGGCCAGCAACCAGCAGGAGCTGGGGAGAGGGTGGGCAGGGTTTCTCTCGCAGCCAAGAGGAGGAACTAGTTCCGCTGACACCTTGATCTTAGACTTCTGGCCTCTACAACTGTGAGGAAATAAATCTCCACGGTTTTAGTTCCCAGCCTGTGGTACTTCCTCCAGGCAGCCCCAGGGAGCTCAGGTCGCCAGCCCCAGGGCGCTCACACCGCCAGCATGTGGCTCTCAGGGCAGGATGAATGCAAGGTCTGAATATACTCCACACTTTCAGATTCTCAACCTCTGAGCGCCAAGCTCTAGGAGACTGTGCAGCCAATGGGTAGGTGCTCCATTTGACAGTGTACAACCCTCAGGGAGAAGCTGGGTTTCTGGAGAGGAACTCAGGGATGGCGGCATAAATCACCTTCATCCCCAGTAACAGGCAGCACCCCCTGGATGGTCTGCCTCACAACAGGGCCCAAGTGTGCAGAGAGCAAGACGCAGCGGGCTAGCATTCCCCGGGAAGAAATGGACTGAGCCGGCCCTTGGCCCGGGCCGGTGGGAGAGCCCACAGCCTTACTCTGGGGTGAATGCAGTGCTGACTTGCCCCACCCCAGAGCGAGCCCACCCAACTGGCTGCCTCCTTGTCACCTTTGGGGGTGGCAGGGCCTCTGGGAGTGGAGACACCTGTTGCCTGTCTCCGCCAAAAGGGTGGGCAACAGTAAGCTTTGGGAAGGGATGGGAGGCCCCTCGGTAGGTGGGTGGGGCAGGAGAAGTCATTCTCTGAGACCAAGGTCACTTAGCCCAGAGCTTAGAGGTGACTTGGGTGAGGGGCTAGGGACAATGGCCGCCTGAAAGTGATGGACTAACAGGACAAAGTACAAGGACTTCCTGCACGGAAAATTCGGCAAGGTGGGCCTGGATCTTGTCTTTCTCGTCTTCACCTGAGACAAGATGCCACCCTTCATTAGTGGTTGGCACCTCGTCCTTATCTCCAGAGAGTCACCGGTCCCCAGCTGATCATGGCAAGGTCCCAGCTGGTTATTAGCACACATGCCACACGCACACACATCTCCTGTGAAGCTGCACTTGGGAGCGACTTGTTTGGTTCTGTTGTTTACATTCTCCCAGAGGCCACCGGGTCCTCTCTGAGCCTGGCTGCTCAGCAGAGCCCGGAGTAGACACCCCTTAGCAGATCCTACCATTCAATAAATCCCTTCAGCCCTAATTGGTTTGGCTCAGTGGATAGAGCGTCGGCCTGCAGACTGAAGGGTCCCAGGTTTGATTCCGGTCAAGGGCATGTACCTTGGTTGCGGGCACATCCCCAGTGGGAGGTGTGCAGGTGGTAGTTGATCAACATTTCTCTCTCCTCAATGTTTCTAACTCTCTATCCCTCTCCCTTCCTCTCTGTAAAAAAAATCAATAAAATATATTTAAAAAATAAAAATAAATCCCTTTGAGAGCCATCAGCGTGGGAGCCGGGGGTCCTGGGCTCTCGTTTCAGAGACGGGACCTCTTCACGCTCCAGAGCCTGGGCCCTGGGGTCAGAGCACTCAATGCACACAGCTTCACAATCACCAGCTGTGTGGTTCAGAGCCCGCTTCATGCCCTCCAGTGCCCCAGTCTTGTCACTTGTAAAGTACTAGCTATCCAGCCGTGGGCAAACTATGGCCTGCAGGCCGGATCCGGCCCATTTGAAATGAATAAAACTAAAAAAAAAAAAAGACCGTATCCTTTTATGTAATGATGTTTACTTTGAATTTATATCAGTTCACACAAACACTCCATCCATGCTTTTGTTCCGGCCCTCCGGTCCAGTTTAAGAACCCATTGTGGCCCTTGAGTCAAAAAGTTTGCCTACCCCTGAGCTATGCCCTGGGTTGTAGGATTAACCGAATGAATGACTGCAAAGGCTGTACCCAGCACCTAAGACCAAGTAGATGGGGACTCTGAGCATCACTGAGCTTCTGTCCCCGGGTCCTCACATGTACCATGAGGGGTCACACAACACCTCCCAGGTCTCCTCTCGCTCCGCGTTAGTCCCGCTCCTTCTGGGCTGAGCTGCGTGGTTCACACATTAAACCCATTCCAAAGGGGAAATCGAGTAAAAACATCCACAACTAAACCAAAATCCTCTTATGAGTCAAAAACTTTACACTAGAGCAAACTGAAGTTGATTATGGGAACAGAATGGACCTGTTGAGTTCCCAGCTGAATGAGACAGATTTTAGGAGGACAATTATTTAAAGGTTGCCGATCTCAGTTCTTTGAAATCTGGGGCTTCAGAAATCAATGTTTTTTAGCAGCTGACCCTGTGCCTGGCAAAGGCTTTGGACAGGTGCCCTGACCCAACTCCTCACTCCCCGGTGGGCCACCTCCGTCCTCACTTACCACTGAGGAAATGGGGGCTGGCAGAGCCCAAGGTGAGGGGCAGCTGGACGGAGAGCCCCCTTCAGGGCTCCCTGTCAGGGTCCCCCGTGGAAACCGCCCTCCGCCAGCTGTGTGGCCTTGGGCGAGGTCCCGACCCCCTGGGCCGCCATCTCCTCTGTAAGCCGAGGACCCAAGGCTCGGAGACCTCATCTGCACCTCCTCTCGGGGTGGCTGTGGCCCTACATCCCCCACCACCGGCGGGAATGCACAGCTCCGGGTCCCAACCATTGACTCAGAGTCTGCATTTGAACCACGGCTCCCAGGGGATTCAGAGACACTCATGCCACCTCTTTTGTGGCTGCAAGAAAGTTTGGTGAGAAGAACAGATGCTACCCGCTCCAAGCAGCTCTCAGCGGGGCTGCCCATACTCATGGAGACCCTCCCCCGGGGAGCTCCCTCCTCCGGCATCACCTACACCGTGAAGCCGGGACCCCTCACCTGTGAAGCCGCTGGCCTGGCTGGAGCCCACGGTGCTGAGCAGAGGCAGCAGGGCCAGCCCCAGGGTCCTGAGCATGGCCGGGCAGTGGCGGCGGCTCTGGGCCTCTCCTGAGCAGAAGCACAAAGGGGCCTGGGCCGCTGGGCTGGAGAGAGGACCCTTCTGCTCCCTGTGCCGCCGACAGTGGCAATGGCTTCAGAGGATGCGCTCCCAGGGAGCAGTCCCTTATGCCTTCTCGTTAGCGCCTGCCGCTGTCACGGCGCGTCCCCGGGGGCGCCTGCATGTCACAGCCCTTTCTCCCTCCAGGCTGACGGCATCTTTGAGGAAAGGCGAGTACCCACCCGCCAGGCTGCATCGCTGGGTCCCATCTCGTTGTTACACAGGAAACACATTTCAGACCCGAATCTGACTCCCTCCATCAAGCACAAAGTACTCTCTGAAGCTTATCATTGCGAACTGGCAGGAGACAACAGCGTCAAATCAAAGTGGTCCATCAGGTTCAGAAAGGCATCCTTCCCACAAGCGGACAGTACAGATCAAAAGCCCTGAAAACGGCCCTCAGCTTAACCCAGTGATGGCTCCGGAGGACCTGCCTGGGCCAGGACACTGTGGTCCCAGAGGTGCTCATCCCCTGTCAGGATTTAACATGGAAAAGCGTCCAGTGAGCCTCGCAGGAGAACGGGAGGGTAAATTACCACACAGCATCTGGGCGTGACATCCCGCACACACACAATGACAGGCTCGCCTGTCAGGAAGACAAAACTTCACACAGGTGAAGGCAGGTCAACGCGGCAGCTCACACAGTCTGTCCCCATAAAGACCGCGACTCTGTATGATATATGCCAGTGGGCACGGCCCCAAAAGGGCTGCGGGAATAAAAGGAGCCATAGTGAGGCCGACAGAATGATGGCTGATCTCCGTTTTATGTCAGTAGCCATGATCTTGTATGTGAAACGGGTTTAAATCTCTTATGAAATGCTGCCTGGTGGGTGCTGTCTCGTTCCCCTGGTGGGTTGTTTTTCGGTGCCTGGTATTGAAAACCCAGGCCCGACGTTGAAAGTCAGGTGAAGATCTCATTAATTCTGCTGAGAAAACTTCCAATTAGGGCAGCAGAGACCCATCGTGGCTGCAGGTGCAGAAGTCTAAGTCCCCTGTGTGTGAAACACCAAGCAGTTCTTCCAGAGGGAGTTTCTAGCCTGGCGCCCGCATCACCATGGCTGCGTTGCTATGTCTCCCATTCTCCGTGGATTAGCCTCTGAGATGACTGGCTGCTGCATTTGCTTGGTTAACGGCTAAACGACACATGCTAGGACGAGAACACCAAAAAAGGGAGCTAGAAATAATCGCGCAGTTAAGGGGCTCAGCGCGAGTCTCCTGGGAGACAGCACCCTTTACAGAGAACCAGGCGAGCAGGATCGACTCTCGACCCAGATAGTGCTGGAACGAAGGTTAAAAACAGTCTCAATAAGAAAATAATACATTTTAAAGCTATAAGACAATATTCAAGAGAACAAAATTTAATGAGCACTAACAGAATAAATACAAAATACATTGTAATTTAGGGAAATCTCAATGCTTAAAAATGTGAGATGATTCTCTATGATGACATTCTATCATGTCATCTCTTAGAGCTTTTGGCTTCTATAATGTATAGCCATTTCTATAAAATATGCAGGTGAAATCAAGAGTAATGATACATTTTAAAACTTGAAATTGGTGCTGTGCACCATTTTCTCTCATGTTCAGGACGACCCTACGAAGCAGGTCTCTTAGCCCCACTGCACAGAAGAAAAAACTGAGGGTCAGAGAGGCCACACAAGCGAGCGAGTGGGAGAGTCGACCCCAAAGGCCAAGTCTTCATGCTCCACTCCACTCCACTCCCTGGCTGGTCACAGTGCCAACCAACAGCACATCCAGCCACAGCCTCCAAGAGAGGGTAGCAATGCCAAGACATTTTAGCAGCTGGGCACTTCATTCTAATTTGAAATTCTCCATTAAATGTCATCACAAATAGTTTCTGTTTATATTGAAACTCATATAATGTAATAAAACCCTCAAAATGGACAGTCTGTTTCTAGCTTGGTCCTCCCTCAAGCTCCCTCTCATACAGGTACACGAAGGGTGTGTGTGTGTGTGTGTGTGTGTGTGTGTTAATTTCATCTACAATGGGGTCTCTTCCTCCAGTTGTTATGGAGGCATATTTTTCTGCATGATGACTGTAGGGATTTTCCACATCTGCCTTTTTCATGTAAACACTCTGAAGAGGAAATAACCCTCCAGGACATCACATTTATCACCTCCTGGGTGTGCTTGGCCACAGGTTCATCCAGCAAAGATCCCGGTTCACTCTAGGTGCAGCCTCCATGGTGCGATGCTGGATTTAAGGATACATATATGCACATTCACACTCATGCATGCACACAGACACACTCGCACTCACACTCTCGTATGTCTACATAATACAGGCACATTCACACATGTCCATACTCACGCATTCTCACACTCATGTATGCACACTCACACACCTTCACTCTCCTGCACATCCACACTCTCACACTGATATGTGCATGTAGTTGTGCAGATGCTCACACACACTTGCATACTCACACACTCACACTTTCTCATGTAGGTGTGTACACGCAGACACACATGCTTGAACACTTATGCATGCATGTGCATACTTGCACTCATGTGTGTATGTGCAGAGGCACACACCCAGCATGCTCACACACATGCACAAGCACACGGGATGAGCATGCTTCTTGTCCCTGGAACCAGTGTCTCTATGGACATGAACCGGCTCTCTGCTTTCAGTGTTGGTACCTGAGCTGAGCTCTGCCTGCTTTCTCCACCTGTGGAGGGAGGGGGCCTTTCTCACCTCAGGCTCTGAGTTCTGTGGTCCTATGAACAGAGGTTCAACAGTCCACTACATAGTGTGTACGCTATGGACTGAAAGTTTGTGTGTTCCCAAAATGTGTACGTTGAAGCCCTAACCCCGAGTGCGGTTATATTAGGGGTAAGGAAGTGATTAAGGTAAAATGAGATCATAAGGGTGGGACCCTCATCTGATAGAATCCATGCTCTTACAAGAGGAGACACCAGAGCCCTCTTTCTCTCTCATTCTCTCTCACTCTCTCGCTCTCTCTTCCATGTGAGGACTCAGTAAGCAGGTGGCCATATGAAAGGTAAAAAAAACCTCACCAGAAACTGACGGTATTGTTACCTCGATCTTGGACTTCCGTCCTCCAGAGCTATGAATAACTTCCTGCGTTTAAGTCACACCGGCTGTGGCGTGTTGTTATGGTGGCCCCAGCTGACTAAGACACTGTGATGGGAGGAGCTAGGGAGGATGTTGGTGGCAGTAAGCACCTAGCACTATTAGTCTTGCTGGTTTTCTGAGACACAGTCAGAGATGAGCTCAGAGCCTCTTGGGTGAAGGAGAAAGCTCCCAAGGTCAGAGCAGGCCTTGCAAGATGCATGTGTAGGAGTTTGCCCTGCAGACAAGTGGAAATAAAACAGGGCGTGAGAAGGGCTGCCTGGCCTCCAATCATGGCAGGTCTGCATCACGCCCCCAGGGCTCTCCCTGCCAGCACTTTTCAAGGGTCCGTGCCCAGCAGCCCCAGGGTGACACAGGAAGCTGCTCGGGACCTGTGTGGTGTCAGGGCGCAGGAGAAAGTCCCACCATTGCTTCTTATTCGGCCCTGATGGTTTCGAGTTCTGAAACAGCTCAGATGAGAGGCAGGAAACAGGAAGTGAGAATGGAGGAGGGGCGGTGAAGTTGAGAGAATTCGCATTTGAGACAGAAGAATCAAAACATTCAAGAAGGCAGAGGAAAAGAGAAAAATCATCCGCACAAACCGGACTTTCCTTGGATGCCCAGGCTCTTCATTTCCAGTCTGGCCACAGGGTCAGCTCCCTGCCTGCTCATTCACCCATCTCCCCGGACATCCACACGTGCCTTCCAGGGCGAGGTGCCCTGCGTGAGCGGGTGCCTTGCCGATGTCACTTAGTTAAGGCGAGGTTCTCCCGGCCCTAAATCCAATAGGACTTGGGTCCTGTGTGAAGGGAGTTGGGATGCAGACACACAGAGAGAAGGCCATGGAGCGGTGAGACAGGTTGGGTGATCAGAGCTGCCGGCCGAGGGATGCCACGGCGTCCGGCCACCACCAGGAGCGTGGCCCTGCCCAGGCTGGGATCTCGAACCTCTGGCCTCCGGACTGCGAGAGAACAGATTTCTGTTGTTTTAAGCCACCCAGTTTGTGGCACTTCATGACAGCAGCCCTGGGAACCTCTGACAGTGCAATGGAGAAGGCTGACATCAAACCTAATTTCACAGCCAATCACATCACGACAGCAGGGTCCATGGATAAAAACTGGGACCTGATGGGAGAGGGCACAGCCTGCAAAGGCTCCAGGGCCAGGAGCTTGGTGTGACCCCGCCCCGTCCATCACACCATCCTTCCAGCCCCAGCTCAGGAGAGGGAGGCATCTGAGGGCCGAGTCTCTCTTGAAGTGGGCATCGAGGCAGAGCGCCAGTGAGGTGGGCCCTGGGCACCTCCCCTACCTGACCCCTCAGGGTGTGCGACGGGGCCTCCGTGTCACGCAGGGCCGGGTCTGCAGGGTGGACTTCAATTGCAGCAGGAGGTATTTGGGTCAGATAATGAGGGCTGTTAAGGCTGGAATGCCTTATCTATCTAAGCGCTGTGACGAGGAGAAGCTGGCACGGGGTGAACCTGCCAGACGCAGGTGTGGCTCCCACCCTCGCCCCATCCAGCCTCTGTGCCTGTGATCACAGCTTCTCAGCAAGGTGCCCTTCACGAGTGGGTGGCTTCAGTGAGAGTGAACAGGCACTCCGCTCCAGGGAGCAGGAGACAGGGCGGGAGGGACCCACTGGCGCTGAGAGGAGAAGGAGAAAGAACCGTCCATGGTCCTCAGGTTCCCGCTCCATCTTGACACCACCGTTCACTCGGGAAGGCACTGGGCTGTGTCCTCACCTGCAAACAGGGAACAACGCCCTTGCTCAGGAGGGCCCTAGGGCTTGCTTGCTCACAGCTAGTGCTTCATCAAGGTCAGTGTCC